GAGTGTGCCTGGGAGTGTGCCTGGGAGAGTGCCTGGGAGTGTGCCTGGGAGAGTGCCTGGGAGTGTGTCTGGGAGAGTGCCTGGGAGTGTGTCTGGGAGAGTGCCTGGGAGTGTGTCTGGGAAAGTGCCTGGGAGTGTGTCTGGGAGAGTGCCTGGGAGTGTGCCTGGGAGAGTGTCTGGGAGTGTGCCTGGGAGAGTGCCTGGGAGTGTGCCTGGGAGAGTGCCTGGGAGTGTGCCTGGGAGAGTGCCTGGGAGTGTGCCTGGGAGAGTGCCTGGGAGTGTGCCTGGGAGAGTGCCTGGGAGTGTGCCTGGGAGAGTGCCTGGGAGTGTGCCTGGGAGAGTGCCTGGGAGTGTGCCTGGGAGTGTCTGGGAGTGTGTCTGGGAGAGTGCCTGGGAGTGTGTCTGGGAGTGTGTCTGGGAGAGTGCCTGGGAGAGTGCCTGGGAGTGTGCCTGGGAGAGTGCCTGGGAGTGTGCCTGGGAGAGTGCCTGGGAGTGTGTCTGGGAGTGTGCCTGGGAGAGTGCCTGGGAGAGTGCCTGGGAGTGTGTCTGGGAGAGTGCCTGGGAGTGTGCCTGGGAGTGTGCCTGGGAGAGTGCCTGGGAGAGTGCCTGGGAGTGTGCCTGGGAGAGTGCCTGGGAGTGTGCCTGGGAGTGTGCCTGGGAGAGTGCCTGGGAGAGTGCCTGGGAGTGTGGCGCTCGCCAAGTGAAAACGTTTCACAATCGAGACATCTGGACAGGAAACTCAGGAAATCCCCACCTATGAAAGTGGACTACCCCTCCACACTGCTCCAGTTGTGGACTACCCCTCCACACTGCTCCAGTTGTGGACTACCCCTCCACACTGCTCCAGTTGTGGACTACCCCTCCACACTGCTCCAGTTGTGGACTGAACTACCTCACCACACAACCACTGCACCAAGGGTGAACTACCTCACCACACAACCACTGCACCAAGGGTGAACTACCTCACCACACAACCACTGCACCAAGGGTGAACTACCTCACCACACAACCACTGCACCAAGGGTGAACTACCTCACCACACAACCACAGCACCAAGGGTGAACTACCTCACCACACAACCACTGCACCAAGGGTGAACTACCTCACCACACAACCACAGCACCAAGGGTGAACTACCTCACCACACAACCACTGCACCAAGGGTGAACTACCTCACCACACAACCACAGCACCAAGGGTGAACTACCTCACCACACAACCACTGCACCAAGGGTGAACTACCTCACCACACAACCACAGCACCAAGGGTGAACTACCTCACCACACAACCACTGCACCAAGGGTGAACTACCTCACCACACAACCACAGCACCAAGGGTGAACTACCTCACCACACAACCACTGCACCCAGGGTGAACTACCTCACCACACAACCACAGCACCAAGGGTGAACTACCTCACCACACAACCACTGCACCAAGGGTGAACTACCTCACCACACAACCACAGCACCAAGGCTGAACTACCTCACCACACAACCACTGCACCAAGGGTGAACTACCTCACCACACAACCACTGCACCAAGGGTGAACTACCTCACCACACAACCACAGCACCAAGGCTGAACTACCTCACCACACAACCACTGCACCAAGGGTGAACTACCTCACCACACAACCACAGCACCAAGGGTGAACTACCTCACCACACAACCACAGCACCAAGGCTGAACTACCTCACCACACAACCACTGCACCAAGGGTGAACTACCTCACCACACAACCACTGCACCAAGGGTGAACTACCTCACCACACAACCACAGCACCAAGGGTGAACTACCTCACCACACAACCACTGCACCAAGGGTGAACTACCTCACCACACAACCACTGCACCAAGGGTGAACTACCTCACCACACAACCACAGCACCAAGGGTGAACTACCTCACCACACAACCACAGCACCAAGGCTGAACTACCTCACCACACAACCACAGCACCAAGGGTGAACTACCTCACCACACAACCACTGCACCAAGGGTGAACTACCTCACCACACAACCACTGCACCAAGGGTGAACTACCTCACCACACAACCACAGCACCAAGGGTGAACTACCTCACCACACAACCACAGCACCAAGGGTGAACTACCTCACCACACAACCACAGCACCAAGGGTGAACTACCTCACCACACAACCACAGCACCAAGGGTGAACTACCTCACCACACAACCACAGCACCAAGGGTGAACTACCTCACCACACAACCACAGCACCAAGGGTGAACTACCTCACCACACAACCACTGCACCAAGGGTGAACTACCTCACCACACAACCACAGCACCAAGGGTGAACTACCTCACCACACAACCACAGCACCAAGGGTGAACTACCTCACCACACAACCACAGCACCAAGGGTGAACTACCTCACCACACAACCACAGCACCAAGGATGAACTACCTCACCACACAACCACAGCACCAAGGGTGAACTACCTCACCACACAACCACAGCACCAAGGGTGAACTACCTCACCACACAACCACAGCACCAAGGGTGAACTACCTCACCACACAACCACTGCACCAAGGGTGAACTACCTCATCACACAACCACAGCACCAAGGGTGAACTACCTCACCACACAACCACAGCACCATGGGTGAACTACCTCACCACACAACCACTGCACCATGGGTGAACTACCTCACCACACAACCACTGCACCAAGGGTGAACTACCTCACCACACAACCACTGCACCATGGGTGAACTACCTCACCACACAACCACTGCACCATGGGTGAACTACCTCACCACACAACCACTGCACCATGGGTGAACTACCTCACCACACAACCACTGCACCAAGGCTGAACTACCTCACCACACAACCACAGCACCAAGGGTGAACTACCTCACCACACAACCACTGCACCAAGGCTGAACTACCTCACCACACAACCACAGCACCAAGGGTGAACTACCTCACCACACAACCACTGCACCAAGGCTGAACTACCTCACCACACAACCACAGCACCAAGGGTGAACTACCTCACCACACAACCACTGCACCAAGGCTGAACTACCTCACCACACAACCACAGCACCAAGGGTGAACTACCTCACCACACAACCACTGCACCAAGGCTGAACTACCTCACCACACAACCACAGCACCAAGGGTGAACTACCTCACCACACAACCACTGCACCAAGGGTGAACTACCTCACCACACAACCACAGCACCAAGGGTGAACTACCTCACCACACAACCACAGCACCAAGGGTGAACTACCTCACCACACAACCACAGCACCAAGGGTGAACTACCTCACCACACAACCACAGCACCAAGGGTGAACTACCTCACCACACAACCACAGCACCAAGGGTGAACTACCTCACCACACAACCACAGCACCAAGGGTGAACTACCTCACCACACAACCACAGCACCAAGGGTGAACTACCTCACCACACAACCACAGCACCAAGGGTGAACTACCTCACCACACAACCACAGCACCAAGGGTGAACTACCTCACCACACAACCACAGCACCAAGGGTGAACTACCTCACCACACAACCACAGCACCAAGGGTGAACTACCTCACCACACAACCACAGCACCAAGGGTGAACTACCTCACCACACAACCACAGCACCAAGGGTGAACTACCTCACCACACAACCACTGCACCAAGGGTGAACTACCTCACCACACAACCACAGCACCAAGGGTGAACTACCTCACCACACAACCACAGCACCAAGGGTGAACTACCTCACCACACAACCACAGCACCAAGGGTGAACTACCTCACCACACAACCACAGCACCAAGGGTGAACTACCTCACCACACAACCACTGCACCAAGGGTGAACTACCTCACCACACAACCACTGCACCAAGGGTGAACTACCTCACCACACAACCACAGCACCAAGGGTGAACTACCTCACCACACAACCACAGCACCAAGGGTGAACTACCTCACCACACAACCACTGCACCAAGGGTGAACTACCTCATCACACAACCACAGCACCAAGGGTGAACTACCTCACCACACAACCACAGCACCAAGGCTGAACTACCTCACCACACAACCACAGCACCAAGGGTGAACTACCTCACCACACAACCACAGCACCAAGGGTGAACTACCTCACCACACAACCACTGCACCAAGGGTGAACTACCTCATCACACAACCACTGCACCAAGGGTGAACTACCTCATCACACAACCACTGCACCAAGGGTGAACTACCTCACCACACAACCACTGCACCAAGGGTGAACTACCTCACCACACAACCACTGCACCAAGGGTGAACTACCTCACCACACAACCACTGCACCAAGGGTGAACTACCTCACCACACAACCACTGCACCAAGGGTGAACTACCTCACCACACAACCACTGCACCAAGGGTGAACTACCTCACCACACAACCACTGCACCAAGGGTGAACTACCTCATCACACAACCACTGCACCAAGGGTGAACTACCTCATCACACAACCACAGCACCAAGGGTGAACTACCTCACCACACAACCACAGCACCAAGGGTGAACTACCTCACCACACAACCACAGCACCAAGGGTGAACTACCTCACCACACAACCACAGCACCAAGGGTGAACTACCTCACCACACAACCACTGCACCAAGGGTGAACTACCTCACCACACAACCACTGCACCAAGGGTGAACTACCTCACCACACAAGGAAAGTTGTGTAACACTGTGGTAGTTCACCAGTGTAAGTTGCCACTTTCCACTTCTCATATTTATTTATTTACTTATTTATGTATTTATATGCAAGAAGGTACATTGGGTTTGATATAAAATACAAAGGTGAAATAAAATATTTACAATATCTTTTACTGAAAATAGTGTAGAGTGTTGCGTTAATTCGTGTTCGGCTGTGTAATAGTCGAGTCCTATGATGGGATATAATGACATTGTGAGCTTTGTAGTTAGAACGTGAGAGGAAGGGCGGTACTCACCGTGTGCAGGTCATCTGGCAGCTCCAGCACGGGCCCGATGTACGGCTGACCGCCGGGCTGCACGGGCTGGGGCTGTGAGCCATGGCTCTCAGGTCTGGGCTGCTGGCCAGGCCTCGCGGGTACGGGTCGGGAGTCAGACGTCACGGGTACGAGTTGTGGGCCCCGTCTCGCGGGTTCAGGCTGGGGGCCCGGCACGACTGCTGACGGGACGGGGTCCTTCCGGGAGCCCGGGAAGACGATGGCGGTGTTGTCCCTGGGGGGTCGTGGCCTGACTCCGGGCATGATGCCCCCAGGGCGCCCCTCTGTCCCCAGGGGTAAGTTGGGGTCGGCCAGTGTGGCCGTGAGGACGGCCAGCCCAGCCACTAGGCACAGTAACTTCATGCTGAAACCACATAATTGGATTTATCATTAACTGCTTAATAGTGAAAGTTATGATAACTTTCGTCATCGATTGTTCAAGGATCGGCGAATACAATAATAATAATTAATAGTTGTATTTTCTCGCTACTCTCGCGCACGCTAAATACAATACAATACAATAAATACATTGAATAGAGTCAAGTCCTGGTTGGACCTAAAGTAAGAGAATTACTGATAATGCCAACAATGTGACGGGAAATAAATTCAGAAGTGCTAAAATCACAAGATGAAATATTAATGCAACAAATATCTGGAAATCATGATTAGTGGGGCTCTTGGGGGTAAAATATTGACATGTAAGTGTTGGCATTAAGGCCTCAAGGATACTGGGATTCATATAGAAGAATTATCAGCAAGATATCTAAGGCTGGTCTTCAGCTTTATCTTGCCCTTGTCAGGCCCCGACTAAATTGTGGTGTTATAGTTTGAACAGCGTGGTACACAGTGTTCATCTGCACCCTTGAACAGCGTGGTACAGAATGTTCATGTGCACCCTTGAACAGCGTGGTACAGAATGTTCATGTGCACCCTTGAACAGCGTGGTACAGAATGTTCATGTGCACCCTTGAACAGCGTGGTACAGAATGTTCATGTGCACCCTTGAACAGCGTGGTACAGAATGTTCATGTGCACCCTTGAACAGCGTGGTACAGAATGTTCATGTGCACCCTTGAACAGCGTGGTACAGAATGTTCATGTGCACCCTTGAACAGCGTGGTACAGAATGTTCATGTGCACCGTCACACAGGTGGCAATATTCCGTCACACAGGTGGTTATATTCCGTCACACAGGTGATTATATTCCGTCACACAGGTGGTTATACCCCGTCACACAGGTAGTTATACCCCGTCACACAGGTGGTTATTCCCCGTCACACAGGTGGTTATACCCCGTCACACAGGTGGCTATACCCCGTCACACAGGTGCTTATACCCCGTCACACAGGTGGTTATACCCCGTCACACAGGTGGTTATACCCCGTCACACAGGTGGTTATACCCCGTCACACAGGTGGTTATACCCCGTCACACAGGTGGTTATACCCCGTCACACAGGTAGTTATACCCCGTCACACAGGTGGTTATTCCCCGTCACACAGGTGGTTATACCCCGTCACACAGGTGGCTATACCCCGTCACACAGGTGGTTATACCCCGTCACACAGGTAGTTATACCCCGTCACACAGGTGGTTATTCCCCGTCACACAGGTGGTTATACCCCGTCACACAGGTGGCTATACCCCGTCACACAGGTGCTTATACCCCGTCACACAGGTGGCTATACCCCGTCACACAGGTGGTTATACCCCGTCACACAGGTGGCTATACCCCGTCACACAGGTGGCTATACCCCGTCACACAGGTGGCTATACCCCGTCACACAGGTGGTTATACCCCGTCACACAGGTGGTTATACCCCCGTCATACAGGTGACTATACCCCGTCACACAGGTGGCTATACCCCGTCACACAGGTGGCTATACCCCGTCACACAGGTGGTTATACCCCGTCACACAGGTGACTATACCCCGTCACACAGGTGGTTATACCCCGTCACACAGGTGGTTATACCCCCGTCATACAGGTGACTATACCCCGTCACACAGGTGGCTATACCCCGTCACACAGGTGGTTATACCCCCGTCATACAGGTGACTATACCCCGTCACACAGGTGGCTATACCCCGTCACACAGGTGGCTATACCCCGTCACACAGGTGGCTATACCCCGTCACACAGGTGGCTATACCCCGTCACACAGGTGGTTATACCCCGTCACACAGGTGGTTATACCCCCGTCATACAGGTGACTATACCCCGTCACACAGGTGGCTATACCCCGTCACACAGGTGGTTATACCCCCGTCATACAGGTGACTATACCCCGTCACACAGGTGGCTATACCCCGTCACACAGGTGGCTATACCCCGTCACACAGGTGGTTATACCCCGTCACATAGATGTGTTCCAACTAAATTTTTTGTGTTGGTAAATAAACCTAATTATATTGCAGACTAAATTTTGCAACAGAAACTTTTGAATGAGGCGAGTGACCGCGCCGCAACAGACCCGGGTCCTGTTTACGGAAGTGGTCAACAGACCCGGGTCCTGTTTACGGAAGTGGTCAACAGACCCGGGTCCTGTTTACGGAAGTGGTCAGCGACCTCTCCACTAGGGCGGGAATCTTGTCTCACAGCGACGTCCGTCAACTTCGCGAGTCGCTGCCATTTTCTCACACAACGGGTTTTGCCCTCGGGTAGAGTATACGTCAAAATACTACGCTCTGTAAGGAAGCCGGGTTAATTATCCCACACACCTGGCCACTCCGGCACCTTGCAAGTGCTCACAGGAGGCACTAAGTGACTTAATTAAGTGATAATAGCACTCTTCTCACTCTCTCACGTCTCTTGACATAAGAGGCATGCGGCAGGGTGTGAAGGTCTTGGTGTTATTTCTTTGTATGTCTCACAAATACACAAGTGTTGGTTTTTTATCCATTGTCACGATTGGTAAGTGGCGGGATCGGCCTGCTTGTTGGTTCAGGGGAAGATTGTGCGCAAGTCTGGGACTTGTGGTGGTTAGTACAAGTCTGGATGTATCAACAAGAAGTCAGTCTTTATAGAATTACATTCAAGTAAGTTGTAGTTAAATTAAAGTGGTTTAAAATATGTGCAAACCTGAAAAATGTAGTAAATCCAGTAATGACTTGAGGAACCTTTCACGGAGTACTAGACACGGAGCACCGGGGACACGGAGCACTAGAGACACACGGAACACTAGAGACACGGAGCACCACGGAGGTCAAGTCACGGAGCACTAGCGGTATAGCGCGCACTGAGTGCTGGCTGCTGCCTGAATGAGCTCTCAGGATTCGTCCGGAGACTTATAGGACCCCAGTCATGCGGGCCTGGGGGAGGGGGTCTGGGGGGAGGGGGTCTTGGGAGGGGGTCTGGGGGAGGGGGTCTGGGAAGGGGGGTCTGGGGATATCTTAAAGCGAGAGAGAGGGGGACTAGGAGGGCGGGGATCCTCCTGTTGAGAGAGAGAGGGGAGGGGAGGGCGTCGACGACTGAGGGACGAGGTAAAGTATACAGTGAACTACAGACTTATTATTATTAACATCTTTATTGATAAAATTAATTACAATTTTGCCTAATCTGAGGATTTCAATTAAGTCTTATTAAAGTGAGGATAATGCTGGTATTTACTGTCACGCAGGACAGAGGGTCATACACAAGACAATAGGTCTAAACTGTAGGCTGAAGCACATGTATATCATGGTTACAATCAGTGTTTTAATGTATGGATATGTGAAAACAACTTTCTACTGTGCACTGCCACACAAGGGCAGGGATGGGTTCATAAGTGATGCAGCTTAGAAGTAAAATAAATAAAATTGTTTTTCATTCTTTAAAATGGACAAGCAAATTTTTGATAAATTGTTAGTATGTCGTCCAGAACACCTGAGTCAATGAAATAGTTACACAGTTGGTGGTACAAGAGACCAGGAGGTCTAAAGTCTTTTACGGTTTCACATTCAACAATATAGTGTTCTAGTGAATACATTAAAGGTTTATCACAGAGTTTACAATCTGAGTATTCTGGTAGTGGCTCAGCCTCACTAACCTGCCAGATGTGCCTATAGCCAAGGCGAATTCTCGCAATGACTACATCACATTGCCTGGTCCGGTTACTGTGCTGACCATACAAATACCTATTATTACAGAACTTGTCATAACTTTTAATACTGCAGCTTTCAGGTCTCTGGGCATTTCTTAGTTCTTCTAAAGCTGAATTAATTTCTTTAATTTGTATGTTTCTAATAATTGCATTAGATAGTCCAAAGTCATAATCAATGTTTTCTTTCCTGCAAGCCTCATTGGCCAATTGATCTACAAAGTCATGTTTACCAACTCCAACATGGGATGGGATCTTCTTGAGGTTATCTTGAGATGATTTCGGGGCTTTAGTGTCCCCGCGGCCCGGTCCTCGACCAGGCCTCCACCCCCAGGAAGCAGCCCGTGACAGCTGACTAACACCCAGGTACCTATTTTACTGCTAGGTAACAGGGGCATAGGGTGAAAGAAACTCTGCCCATTGTTTCTTGCCGGCGCCTGGGATCGAACCCAGGACCACAGGATCACAAGTCCAGCGTGCTGTCCGCTCGGCCGACCGGCTCCTCTCCCCGACCGGGATCCACACAAGTTTTATACAAGAGTTATTATCATTGGCAAAAGTTACATTCCATTTAATATTACAAGCTACTTCAGACATACATTGTGATGGGTTATTTAAGGACTGCAGAGCACTTGTAGAGTCACAGAAAATCACTCCACCACCATTGAGCTTAAGGTATTCAGTGGCTAGATAAATACGCAATAGCTCGGTCTGTGTCGTGCTTGCCCAGTTGTTCAATCTCTGTGTACTAGACATGATCATTTCATTCCCTTTATATACTGCGCATGCACAACCTGTTCTAACAGTGCCTGACTGCACAGAACCATCAGTAAAGGCGTAGGAATCAGTCGGTTTGAAATCTTAAAGATGACTGTCAATAGCTTCTAATGTTATACATCTCATAGTTTCAGTGTTATACATTTGTTTTACACTGATGGGGGTATAGTGCAAAGTGACCTGCACATCTTTCCAAGGTGGGAATATAGTTGGCATTAACATAAAATATGCTCGTAGTTTTTATATTGCGTTTATGTGGTCTGTTGTTGATTATTATGCCTTGCATCTTCTTAATTTTTCTCCTAAACAATTACAAGGCCAAGATGTAGTACAGAATGATGCCATGCGCATCATCCTGGGTTGTCCTAGAACTGTCAGAATTGTTAACATGAGAGAGGAACCAAAATTACCTTCCATTTACCAAAGAATAGTTCTACTTAGTACTATGTTTTGCGCCAAAACTTTGAACCACAGATTAATAAACATGACGAGAGAGGAACACACACAACACGTGACCAGCCAGCAGTGGCCCCGAACAATCGTCACACCGTGAAGAACAAAGATCACTGCAACTTGTTGCTCAGTTATGCAACAAAAGTCTTGAACAAAGTCTGGCAGGCCGGCCTCAAGTGCAAGTTAAACTCAAGTGTTGAGTTTAAAGCCTCAATGTGAGGCTTTAAACTCAACATACCAGCCAACATCGCCCACATGGGGGAGGAGGTGGACGGCTCAACACATCTGCTTATCATCCACTCTTTTTAACATGCCCAAGGAAGTCAGGGAGGGGGGGGGGGGGCAGGGACGACAAGGATGTGCAAGGAGGGTCGGAGTAGGACAAGAACGGTGCAAGATAATAACAGCCACACGCGGGGCAGATGTCCCGCCACACCCAGCCACACGCGGGCAGATGTCCCGCCACACCCAGCCACACGCGGGCAGATGTCCCGCCACACCCAGCCACACGCGGGCAGATGTCCCGCCACACGCGGGCAGATGTCCCGCCACACCCAGCCACACGCGGGCAGATGTCCCGCCACACCCAGCCACACGCGGGACAGATGTCCCGCCACACGCAGGACAGATGTCCCGCCACACCCAGCCACACGCGGGACAGATGTCCCGCCACACGCAGGACAGATGTCCCGCCACACCCAGCCACACGCAGTACAGATGTCCCGCCACACCCAGCCACACGCGGGGCAGATGTCCCGCCACACCCAGCCACACGCAGGACAGATGTCCCGCCACACCCAGCCACACGCGGGACAGATGTCCCGCCACACCCAGCCACACGCGGGACAGATGTCCCGCCACACCCAGCCACACGCGGGAAGATGTCCCGCCACACCCAGCCACACGCGGGAACACGTCCCGCCACACGTGGACACACGTGGACACACGTGGACACACCCAGCCACACGCGGACACTAACGCTGGGAAATACCAACCCAACAAGTGCTGACCTAACAGGTCTTACGTAATAACGTTTACCTATCAGTGCTTACCTAAAGTGACTGTTGGACAGTGAGCTAGGGGCCAACACTTGTGGTGGTCTAAGTTGCTCGCATGATTTAATGTGTCGAATTTTAATGTGGGTTAGGCACGTCAGCTGGGTGTCAGCACCGGTGGTAGACACTCCAGGTGGGTGTCAGCAGCGGTGGTAGACACTCCAGGTGGGTGTCAGCACCGGTGGTAGACACTCCAGGTGGGTGTCAGCACCGGTGGTAGACACTCCAGGTGGGTGTCAGCACCGGTGGTAGACACTCCAGGTGGGTGTCAGCACCGGTGGTAGACACTCCAGGTGGGTGTCAGCACCGGTGGTAGACACTCCAGGTGGGTGTCAGCAGCGGTGGTAGACACTCCAGGTGGGTGTCAGCACCGGTGGTAGACACTCCAGGTGGGTGTCAGCAGCGGTGGTAGACACTCCAGGTGGGTGTCAGCAGCGGTGGTAGACACTCCAGGTGGGTGTCAGCAGCGGTGGTAGACACTCCAGGTGGGTGTCAGCACCGGTGGTAGACACTCCAGGTGGGTGTCAGCACCGGTGGTAGACACTCCAGGTGGGTGTCAGCAGCGGTGGTAGACACTCCAGGTGGGTGTCAGCAGCGGTGGTAGACACTCCAGGTGGGTGTCAGCACCGGTGGTAGACACTCCAGGTGGGTGTCAGCACCGGTGGTAGACACATCAGCTGACCACAGGGAGCCGGTCGGCCGAGCGGACAGCACACTGGACTTGTGATCCTGTGGTCCTGGGTTCGATCCCAGGCGCCGGCGAGAAACAATGGGCAGAGTTTCTTTCACCCTATGCCCCTGTTACCTAACAGTAAAATAGGTACCTGGGTGTTAGTCAGCTGTCACGGGCTGCTTCCAGGGGGTGGAGACCTGGTCGAGGACCGGGCCGCGGGGACACTAAAAAAAGCCCCGAAATCATCTCAAGATAACCTCAAGATAACCACATTAGAAAGTGAAGGGACGACCACGTTTCGGTCCGTCCTGGACCATTATAAGTCGATTGTGATGAGACGACGTTGTTGTTGTTGTTTAAGATTCAGCTACTGGAGACTAAAAGTTCCAAGTAGCACGGGCTATGGTGAGCCCGTAGTGGACTTACCTGGCACAGGAGCGGGGCTGTAACTTAATGAGACGAGGGAGGCAAGGGTATTAATTAAGGCAAGAGAGGTAGGGAGATGGAAAACTTAGACAATAGATAGGGCAATGGATCGGCTCCTGTTGTGACTTCCAGCGGCTTCTATGGGGCGGGGGGAGAGAGAGAGAGAGAGAGAGAGAGAGAGAGAGAGAGAGAGAGAGAGAGAGAGAGAGAGAGAGAGAGAGAGAGAGAGAGAGAGAGAGAGAGAGAGAGAGAGAGAGAGAGAGAGAGAGAGAGAGAGAGAGAACGAACGAACGAACGAACGAACGAATGAACGGGCGAACGAACGAACAAGAAGAAAAGGAAGAGGAAGAGAGGCGTGACAAGCGGAAGAGGGGGGGTCACCCTGCGGTTCCCGGGGTTGCTGCTGGCTCACCACTAAACACCTTCCAGGATAACTATCACTGTTAGTGGGAAGTGTTCGTCGCGGTGTACAACATCTGCCTCTCCTGAATATTATTGGGTTTCTGTTTATTATGTTCGAGTTTGAAGGAATTATTATTATTCACTTGGACCCCAATTATCACTTGGCTTTGGCTTCTTAGGAAGTGACACGTAATCAACCAGTATAAATATCTTGCAAGGATAACTGGATGGTTTTGGCGATAATGAAATCACAATAACTTGCTCTCTAGACGTGAGTACAATATGTGATTGTCATACGTACAATATTACTAGGTACATACAATATTACTAGGTAAGCTCAATCTATTAGAAATATTTATAAGGTCGTTTGAGAGCCTCTTGAAAGACTCTTGAAAGATAAGCCTGTACCCTTAGGTTATTCCTCCTCTCTTGATATAGATGGAACTCCTCCGCGTCTTAATATAGATGGAACTCCTCCACGTCTTAATATAGATGGAACTCCTCCATGTCTTAATATAGATGGAACTCCTCCACGTCTTAATATAGATGGAACTCCTCCATGTCTTAATATAGATGGAACTCCTCCATGTCTTAATATAGATGGAACTCCTCCGCGTCTTAATATAGATGGAACTCCTCCATGTCTTAATATAGATGGAACTCCTCCATGTCTTAATATAGATGGAACTCCTCCACGTCTTAATATAGATGGAACTCCTCCATGTCTGAAAAAAGATGGAACTCCTCCATGTCTTAATATAGATGGAACTCCTCCATGTCTTAATATAGATGGAACTCCTCCATGTCTTAATATAGATGGAACTCCTCCACGTCTTAATATAGATGGAACTCCTCCATGTCTTAATATAGACGGAACTCCTAAACGTCTTAATATAGATGGAACTCCACCACGTCTTAATATAGATGGAACTCCTAAACGTCTTAATAATACATGGAAGTCCTTCTCGTCTTAATATAAATGGAACTCCTCCAAAACAAGCCTATAAAACTGTGTGTGACTCATACTAGGAGAAGCCCGGGTTTTCCCGGGTGTTTTGTTTGGTAAACATTGGCGGGACCAGCTGGTGGCTGCTGGACCACTGCTTGCTTGTTTGCTGCTGTTGCTCTGTTTGTCACAGTGGATCAACACCCCGTGGACCACACACGCCCCTGTGTGTGTGTGTGTGTGTATTTGGGTGCTACTCACCCAAATAGGTGAGTCCACACACACACACACACACACACACACACACACACACACACACACACACACACACACGCACACACACACTTCAGGCTCGTATCGGTGTATCCCAAAGGTGGAACTACTGCCCTTGGCCAGGATGCAACCCAACAACAGTTGCCTAGCTTCCTGGTACCAATGTACTGATAGGTTGAACATAGGCATTAGCTGAAAGGAAACGTGCTCGTCCATTCTTCTTAATTCCGCCCGGGAATCGAACCCGGGATCTCCGAGTGCGAGTTGAGAACGAAGCCAACTGTACTACAAGACCCCCAGCTGCGTGTAGATACAAGAGACAAAATGACCAACCCAGCGCCTGGTTTCCCAGGGGGGTGGTGTTGTCCATACTGATATTTCAGCATGTTCACTCACAGTTAAGCAAGGGGTTGAGCAAGGGAGAGACAGGGGGTTGAGTAAGGGGGACAAGGGGTTGAGTAAGGGAGAGACAGGGGGTTGAGCAAGGGAGAGACAAGGGGGTTGAGCAAGGGAGAGACAGGGGGTTGAGTAAGGGGGACAAGGGGTTGAATAAGGGAGAGACAGGGGGTTGAGCAAGGGAGAGACAGGGGGTTGAGCAAGGGAGAGACAAGGGGGTTGAATAAGGGAGAGACAGGGGGTTGAGCAAGGGAGAGACAAGGGGGTTGAGCAAGGGAGAGACAAGGGGGTTGAGCAAGGGAGAGACAAGGGGGTTGAGCAAGGGAGAGACAGGGGGTTGAGCAAGGGAGAGACAGGGGGTTGAGTAAGGGGGACAAGGGGTTGAGCAAGGGGGACAAGGGATCAAAGGATGAGTGGCGCTGCCCAATAAACCCGCCCCTCGGGGCAAAATTTAAAAAAACAAGGGACTGAGGAAGGTGGTGGTGGGTGTGGGTGGTGTAGAGGCCGGGGGCGTGTGTGGGGCGGGAGGGAGCGTGTCAACACAGTACAGTGTACAGTGAGAGAGGATACACAGTCATGCCCCATGGTTACTGCCACTGGGAGAGAGGGAGGGGGGTGTTACGATGGCACTGTGACGGCAAGTTTTGTATACTTCTCGTGGGCAAACACTGCCGCTATAAACACACACGCACACACCTACAGCAGCCTCCAGGATTCGCTGTCCACGGACCAGGGTTCGATTCCCAGACGGAACAGAAGCCAATGGGCGTAGTATGTTTCATATGAAGCCCTTGTTCACGTTGTTAACAAGTGTCTGGGAGCTGGTCAGCTGTTATGGCCTGCATCCGTGGGATGTGTGTGTGTGTGTGTGTGTGTGTGTGTGTGTGTGTGTGTGTGTGTGTGTGTGTGTGTGTGTGTGTGTTTTCACCTAGTTGTGCTTGCGGGGGTTGAGCTCTGCTCTTTGGTCCCGCCTCTCAACTGTCAATCAACTGTTTCTACTACTACTTTTTTTTCTCCACACCACACACACACATACCAGGAAGCAGCCCGTGACAGCTGACTAACTCCCAGGTACTTATTTACTGCTAGGTAACAGGGGCATACGGTGAAAGAAACTCTGCTCATCGTTTCTCGCCGGCGCCCGGGATCGAACCCGGGACCACAGGATCACGTGTCCAGCGTGCTGTCCGCTCGGCCACTGGCTCCCCCGGTGGCCAAGTGTGTGTGTGTGTGTGTGTGTGTGTGTGTGTGTGTGTGTGTGTGTGTGTGTGTGTACTCACCTAGTTGTGTCTGCAGGATCGAGCATTGACTCTTGGATCCCGCCTTTCGAGCATCGGTTGTTTACAGCAATGACTATGGTCCTATTTCCCTATCATATCTAGTTTTAAAATTATGAATAGTATTTGCTTCCACAACCTGTTCCTTAAGTGTATTCCATTTTCCCACTACTCTCACGCTAAAAGAAAACTTCCTAACATCCCTGTGACTCATCTGAGTTTCCAGCTTCCATCCATGTCCCCTCGTTCTGTTACTATTCCGTGTGAACATTTCGTCCATGTCCACTTTGTCAATCCCCGTGAGTATTTTATACGTTCCTATCATGTCCCACCTCTGCCGTCTTGTTTCTAGTGTCGTAAGGCACAGTTCCTTCAGGCGCTCCTCATACCCCATCCCTCATAACTGGGAAATTGAAATTGAAAATTGAAATAAGTTTATTGAGGTAAAATACACACAAAGGGATGAGGTAGCTCAAGTTATTCTCACCTCGTTCAGTACATCGTGTTAATATATACATAGACACACATCACTAACAATAAACATATTACCGAACATTCTGAGAGATAAACATATACATTTCCTCCTTTACACAAGTAGTATGGTATCAGACGTACACACAAATACTTTTATGACCTGGTATACTGTATAGACAATTAAACTCAAACTATAACATAACAAAATAAACTATTTTTCAGGCAATGTTCTCCAACAGCTTGCATGGTATGCAAGTTAGGGACACTGGCCTGTAGTTCAGTGTCTCCTGTCTGTCACCCATCTTGTATATCGGGGCTACAATAGCCGTCTTCGAAATTTTTGGAAGACGGCTATTCATTTATTTGCCTGAATTCTGGGAGGGTTGAAGGCTTGCATTTAAATACTGTCTGTTGCAAATTATCTGTCAGTTGACAGGTAATTAAGGGTTGACAGAAGTCAAGGTAGTTAACTCCGATCCTGGTTTCATCAACTCACACGAAGGCTACATTGTTGCATTAACTTAACCTCAGTTATTAAGTAGCTGTCAGTTGGACAGGTAATTTGATTGACTCTTGGGGTGAGTAAAGTCATTGTTAAGTAACGTAGACGTGGTAATTAGTTATTGGTCCATGGGATAGTGAACTAGTCACCTGAGTTCATTGGGACATGTAGGGCCTCAGAGGGAATTCATTTCGTTGAAGTTATAACTGTTAAGCTAGTGTCAAGGGTAACGTAATTGTGTATAATTAATTATTGATCTTCGAGATAGTAATTAATTGCTCAAGATAATTAAGAGTGATTGCCATCCTCTTAGCACTTTGGACATAGAATTGTAGTAAAGTATCGAGTGGACGATAGTAACCGATAACGTAACTCGTGCTGGGAATAATTAGCTGTCTGTAGGGCAGGGATTAATGGGGATTACTCACTGAATGCTTGACGGGTCAGGTGTTTGTGTAATTCCGAGTTACGAATGACAGTTTGGGGAGCCGGTCGGCCGAGCGGACAGCACGCTGTACTTGTGATCCTGTGGTCCTGGGTTCGATCCCAGGCGCCGGCGAGAAACAATGGGCAGAGTTTCTTTCACCCTGTGCCCCTGTTACCTAGCAGTAAAATAGGTACCTGGGTGTTAGTCAGCTGTCACGGGCTGCTTCCTGGGGGTGGAGGCCTGGTCGAGGACCGGGGGGACACTAAAGCCCCGAAATCATCTCAAGATAACCTCAAGATATGTACAGTTGGACTTGTCTGTGGGAGACAAGGTTAAGTTAACGTAGTCGTTGGTGCTGACAGCTGTTAGCATTGTTTTAACGTAAGTCTCACTATTAATATTAACGTAATCAATTAGTCATTGATTGTTAGGCTGCATTAGGCTGCAGTTAGGCTCTCATCATATCAAGGTCAATAGTATACAATGGTTCTTTGCAGAGAAGAGAACTGCCAAAGTTATAGAAGACTGCAGATGTCAGACCTATATATTAGAAGGGGCATAGACCAGAGACTCAAAACTTCATGTCTGTGTCACCGACATGTATATCATGAAAGGTCCTCAAGGAATGAGCCAGGGGCCAGATTCACGAAGCACTTACGAACCTGTACATCTTTTCTCAATCTTTGGCGGCTTTGGTTACAATTATTAAACCGTTAATGAGCTCCGAAGCACCAGGAGGCTGTTTATAACAATAACAACAGTTGATTGGGAAGTTTTCATGCTTGTAAACCGTTTAATAAATGTAAACAAAGCCGTCAGAGATTGAGGAAAGATGTACACGTTCGTAAGTACTTGCGTAACTGCTTCGGGAATCTGGCCCCAGGTTCGTAAGTACTTGGGTAACTGCTTCGTGAATCTGGCCCCAGGTTCGTAAGTACTTGGGTAACTGCTTCGTGAATCTGGCTCCAGGTTCGTAAGTACTTGGGTAACTGCTTCGTGAATCTGGCCCCAGGTTCGTAAGTACTTGGGTAACTGCTTCGTGAATCTGGCCCCTGGAGAGTAGTGAACCGGACAGATTATGTGACGGAGCTTCAGCACATGATCACCCATGAAAGACAACGTATGGCTGACTGCGTCTTCCAGGACTGTCAGAGAGCCTTCGACACTGCTCCACACACGAGGCTCCTACACATACTAGAAGGAGAGAGGGAACTACCAGGATGTTGTTGTTGTTATAGATTCAGCTACTCGGAACAAGTTCCAAGTAGCACGGGCTATGGTGAACCCGTAACTTACCTAGAACAGAAGCGGGGCCAGTAGCACGGGCTATGGTGAGCACGTGGTGGACTTACCTGGCACAGGAGCGGTGCTGAAACAAAAACTACCAGGAGAAGCCATTACGACTATATAGCGCATGGAAGGAAGTCAGGATAAGGATTTGGGATGGGACAGGGGAAAGGAATGGTGGTGCCCAACCACTTGGGCGGTCGAGGATTGAACGCCGACCTGCATGAAGCGAGACCGTCGCTCTACCGTCCAGCCCAACACATACTAGAGGAACAAGCAGGAGCTAACAGCGGAACCTCCAGCACTCACACTAACCTAACAAAGTAAACACAGGTTATTATTTAACAACACTCATATCGCATTCTAAAATTAGCCCCTGACTTTCCCAAGCC